ACTTCTACAATAATATCTAGAAGGACAACATATTAACTCTACCAATGGACTTAGCTAATTAACTACCTTACATCTGTGAATTTATACATTTCTACTAATTGTGTATATTAATATATTGCTCGTTAAATAAACGAAAAAAGCAAGTACTTGTTCAAATACTGGGGTACATTTAGAACTAGAATATAATTCAAATTAAAGGCTTTGTGAAGGATTGAAGTCACGATTCGAAATGTATAACAAAATATTTTTTATTGGTGTCCTTATGCTATATGTTTTGTTACATTCAAGTAGGAGAATAATGAATATACGAAGGAATTGCTCATAATTTTATTTTATGGGCTTTTATTTTAAATTGGCTCTGCTCTCATATATATATATATATATATATATATATATTATGTAGTTTTTTTATACATATCACTATTAAAACTATAAAATGTATTAAGAAATTGATAGGAAATCGGAATATCAAGATTATTAATAGGGACGGTGTCTTAAATGAAATGCAAACTCGGTTTTAATTGAACGACATGGCTTCTAATCGCAATTACGTAGCCCGAGTAATTAATCGACTGAGATCTTGCTGGATCAAGCAAACTATTTAACTTTTAAATTAATAATTACTTTAACATTTCTGACCCTTTTTTATTTGAATTTAATTAAAAAAGTATACATGTAATCTATGCAAAGAAAGAAAATTGAAGCTTTTCACTAAATTGATATAAAAGTGTATACAGTACTTAAATCGAAACCGTAACATAATATGGATCGTTTTTACGGAACTTTCAAACACATATACCTACTTTTATTTTATAATTATATTTATTTTAATAAAAACTATATTTAAACATACTAGCAGTTACATGGACGAAGTCATGGGAAATTGATTGTAATAGTAAAATATGTTTTAGCCCAGTGTCTAGCCGAATTAAATTTCGTCAATGTTTTGTCATTGAGCCTAAATGATTTAGTAATTTAAAGTATGTCTAATATATATAAGTTACTGAAAAGTACGTCAAATTTGAATGTTGAAAAATACAATTACGAAATAGACCATTAGTCATTTACTACTCGTAGGTTAGTTACAGGGAATTCCGCATACAATAACGAATCTAATTATGTTTTCTAGTCTCTCTATGGACACAGCAGGAATTGTCAGTACAGTGAAAATCTGCAATGACTTGTGTAATTAAATTTTATACTAATGAAATAGGATTTTTATTTACTTATTTGTGTTTATACAAGACATAAATATACAAATAAATAACTCTGCTTAACTCATTATATTAGTTGCTTTAAGTTATGTATATTTTCATATAATATTCCTTTGTTTAGCGACTCACAAATTTATTATTAAATATTTGCAAATCTTAGTCAAACATAATACTAACTAAACAGATATTTATGTCAATCATTCTGATTGACGTTAGTTTGTTGTGTCAATGACCCATGAAAATTACCAAAGATAAGAAGAAATGTTTTATGGATGTCTCAGCAAAACATTAAGTCATTATTCTACGTGTTAGTTAGGAAAGTATTGTATTTCTTTTACATTTTTGGGGGATATAAAAACGTTCGTATATGTATACAAGATATAATATTTTTTTATGTAATAGGAATGTCAACCGTCTCCTATATAGTACATATAAACCGGACCTCGGATATCACATCAACTAGTACTCTACTCCCGTAGTGTACTTCATATGTTGCCATTCCTAAGAATTACGGTGCTTATATTCTGTACTTTGTAATTATATCCGTATTTATTGTGGCAAATATTTATAAATAGTTAATTAGTATAAATAATGATTGCTACTTATTTTTTTTTAAACGATGGGTATGTGTTATAAGCATATAATAAAAGCACACAAATACTTGAACTGAATTTCTTTAAAAATACTCAAATAAAAAAATCTATTAGATATATTCATACTTACGAGTTAAATTGGATTCAAAATTTTTGATTATTATTAGTTCGAAATGTAGTTTCGAACAAAAAGAACAAAGAACTAACTGAATCCTTACTTTTTCAAATGAAACTGTACTTGATAACAAAAATAAAGATTGCTGTGTAAATGCAATTAAAGAGAATTTAGTGATTGTGATCCCTATTCGAAGAAACAACATTTAATTGGTATAATTGCCAAGACTGATCCATAGTCAAGAACTTCTAATTCTATTATAAATACACTAAAATATATATTAAGTTGTTTGTAGAAATGCCATGTCAGTAGCTGAAAATAGGTAAAAACATAGTACGCTGGCCACCGCGTTTATGAGAGTGGAAAATATTGAGTTTTAATGAAGGCTAGTTCATTTGGCAGATTCAGTGCGCAGCGCGCAGATATTGACTACATTCATTTATAGACTTTTGAAATTATTAATTGCAATGTCAATGAGCAGTATCTCCTAATTATAAAATAATTGGAAATGTTAAGTACTTTATGTAACTTTATAACCTAGATTTCTATAACCCTCGTCTGAAGAGATTGTTAATAGCGATAAGAATGCCTTTTGTAAAACATTTTTTTAATGTATACTTCTATTGTTCTTTGTTTGTCTGTGCGCAATAATGAGTTGTTATTATTATTAATAAAACTAGATTAAATCGATGTTATTATAGCATGTTATAACATATATTATTGCAAGTTCATTTTTTAATAATAATAAAATAGTTGTATGATTACTTACCACTATAATACGAAAGTCTTGGGTTAGACTCATGTAGACTACAAAATAAGCATCATCGGCGCTCGGGGAAATCAAATTATACTGATGCTGGGAACGTGCCCTCATAATAAAAATATATAAAAAGAGCGTCTTGAAAATGTAAACTACAACACGTTATACGTATTATATAGAAGCTAAGAGAAATTGAATTCAAACATTAAATAAAGTAGTAGATGCATATTTAGAAATATAAAAATGTCGAACAAAGAAACTGTTGAGATGTGTAATTTTGTATACTGTAGAAATAATTTGAATTATATTAGAAATATTATTAAGAACAGTATTCATTTAAATTGATGGATCAGTATATTTTTTATCTACAATACATTTTTATGTAGAGATAAAATTAATTACCAAAGCTATGTCTAGTCTAGGTTTAAATATTATTTAGAGAAAGATATACGTATATAGGTAGAGTCAGTTTTAATTTCACATTTTTGTCTTTTTGATAAATTGTAATCTTAGTAAAATATATAGAAATTATTTTGTTAGTGCCATTATTTAGTATTAGAATTAGTTAATTATTATATAGCTACTATTATTTTTGTGTCTACACAGAGTAATTGCATTGGAATATAAAAGTATGCTCTCTTATCTGTCTGACATAAAGAAATGTCTTTTTGAACGATTTGTTTTATATTATTTTTATATAATTTTCCAAAATTAGCATTATTAAACTGAAATGTATACTAAAATGTCTAAATAAAGCTCGTATATTGTCTGATCTATTTTTATTTAGTTGTATTATACATAACCCGAAAGCTCCCTAAGTTAGTATGTAGCAACCTCGCTTATGTACATGACCAATATTATTAGGCGTTACGTCATCTTGACACACAAGCTGTACTCCTCTCACGCGTTGCCGGATGACTAATGTCTCTAAACCCTGTAATTTCGCTGCCACTTCTCATCTTATAATCGATATTAGCTTACAAACAAGCAGCTTGGCTGAATTAGGTGGGACGGAAACAGTACCTACATAGATGTTTGTGTAAAAAGTCTGCTTCGAGAAGTTTTTAGAATATTTTCTGTTAATTTAAAACTGATTTTATTAATTAACAAGAAGCTGAATAATATTAGTAATAATATAATATGTTTTTACTATTAATTTGTTACTACTTGTCATGTTAGGCATTCTCAACTTTACTTAAATATTTATATGTTATTGTTTTACTATTGTACAATAACAGTCAACATATTAACACAAAAGCGTTTGATGAAGAAATAGCTAATGGTATTTGTTAATTTCTTCTACTACTGCTGTTAGTTAGATTATACTTATACAATCATATACATTAAAAATAATATGTTAGTAATTAATATTCAGATACTGACATAAAAACACGTATATTCGCGGAAGCGAAATATACAAAGCAGATAAAAATTGCAACTCCATTCTTTTTCCTGTGTACAGAATCATTCACCATAAAGAGAACTATGGTTTGTGAATGAAAGCGGGGTGTTGAAATATGAAAAAAGTAAGGTAGGCTTTGTGCAAGTCTGCATAAAGAATTTTCATAGTAACGTTAGTACATTTCTATTTAGTATTAAATAAAAATGATGACTAATGATGACAACATTAATTACGTTAAAACAGCTTTAATTTTGTTTCGTATAAATTACAAATGAGTTTATACATTTTTTTTATTTAATTAATGTTTTTACATATTATTGCTTTAATTGTGTATTGTAATTTGTAATATATGTAGTGGAGTTTGAAACTTGATAACCATAAATAGTCCTAATTAATAATAGGAATTTATGAGGTCGAGTATTGTGACGGAATTATACGTAATTTACTGTGTTTGTGGTAGTGACATAATTTAAAATATTAATGACAAAATTAGTACAGTTGCGAGTACAAGCATATATGAAAGAGTAATATAGTTTTGTACTTTTTCATATTAAACTTTAACTATAAGTTGGTATTAAACATTCTTTAAAACTACTCCACATACCTGCCTATACTATTATATTGATGAATTATTAAAATTCTATTGTGATTGAATATTATACCATAATTCTTTATACTAGTGTCGTAAGGAAGTATTAAAAATTCCTAAAACCAAGGCAAATAATAGTAACCCTCGCTTATAGGCATAATTTGCACCTGAGGCATATAAAATTAATATTTAAAATATAAAATTACCCCACAGATTCAAATATAAAAGTGGTGAATAATAATTTTAAAAAGTAAACTGTCTACTTTATTTTAATAGTAGTGTACGGGTTAGCAAGGAGGAAAAATAACAGACAATCGGTTATTTACTTTAAACATTTATTTGATTATTCATTACACCAATAAAGTAATTTGCTTGACAAATATACTTCATAAACTGACTAGATAGTGACTAGAATGCCTCCACGGGCCACCTGTTGCTTTGATACGCAACACTCAACCTTACACAGTACACAGTAAGAATTATCCAGAGCCCGAAGGAAAGGTACGAGAATTTTCGTGAATAGGGAACACTTTACACAAAGGGAAAACACCATTGGGAAATAGTAGCTCGACAGGTTGGGAGGAGGTCAGGTACAAAGGTATTTTAGGGTCTTGAGGGCTCTGGGCCGAGCAAGGCTCAGGCCACCGCCATTTCGCCAATTCCGCGCAGCAGGCGTAAGCGCAGCTTAGCAAAAACTGGATGTTGAATGGATATGCCACGCATATGCAGAAATCGCAGTGTCTCCTGGGCGCACACAAGAAACCCCAGCATCTCCGGATCCATATCGACAGGCACAGAGTCAAGCAGGGGATCGATGTTTTCATCAGTTTCGTTGTCATAATCACTGAAGTCGAATTCTTCATTTAATGGTTCGCGTTGGTTGTCCATCTCCACAGAACAAATTCTGCCAAAAAGACGCTTCAGAGCTTGCCGCTTCTCTAAATTGTCAGGATCATTAGCAGGCTCGCTGTGTGAACGCTTGCGGCGCCGTTGTCGCCTCACGCGCCGGTTGGCGTTATCCGCCTCGCGTTCCCGTTTATTTTTCATTACCACTTTGTCTGTCGGCGTCGCGCTTCAGACTGCGAATGGACTGTGCACAGGGAATTGAAGGGCCTCGATGCGATTACACCGGGTACAGTCCGTCGCAGTTGCACGGTGCGGCGGCGCGCGCGTTAGAGCGAGACGGAGCTGCCAGCTGCAGTAGGAACAGCTGGGCGAGCAGATGCAGGGCGTGGGGCACACACGCTTTGTTTGATAAAGTTTATTCGGGGAAATAAAACTGTTAGCCGCGATTGCGCGGGTCGTTTAGGGGCGCGGAGCGCGGGGTGAGAGCACTGCCCCGGACGGCAGCTGTGTCGCATCTGCCGTGCTCAGCTCAGGTGAATTCACATGTTTCATCTCAAGGTGCCGACATCAAGTAATTAAGACGTCTATAGATTTACCTAAACAAAGACTTGAGTTGCAACTTGCATTAGATGTACATGAAGTCTAATCCTATTATAGTTATAAACAGTTGTCATAGCAACGATGTATAAGTCATAATTAAGACAATTAATAAACCTAAATTGAATGACAATTTAGCTTTCCATTGGACCGTTCAAGAGTAAAGCTTTGTCTGTAAAGAGTGTCTATGATTATCATTTTATTAGCATTCCTTTGTTTTATAGGTAATGGTTAACACACATACCTACTACAATCACGACTAGTCAATGACCGGCGAAAAATACGCGTTCATCGTTTTCCGGACAGTTCATGCTATAAAACGGCTATATACCTGTCTATGTAAATTGTAAAAATCAATACGCAGGCTATGTAGTCCCGGGACGAGCTGTCGGCTATGTGCTTTTCCTGTACATCATATCTAGGTTTCCGCGAAATACAGACTAATGTACTTGCGAGCTTACGAGGTATATTCAATAGTAAAGTACATTATAATATTATGCAATCTTATACTAAAATTGTTTCTATTATGGATATATATAGAAAACCTAAACGTTCGCAAGTTATAGACTTCGAAAATATACTGTCTAAAGATAAAATGTACATAAAATCTTACATAAATGTTGAGAAGAATATTATTACAGCAAATATAAGATATTAGATATATTATTAAATATAGTAATGGTCATATAAAAGATTCAAAATATGATAGAATCAGACTATTTTATTTCTCAGGGTGTGAAAGCGAATGAAAGGGATAATGAATGGATGGTAGGGTTTGTTTTTTTTAATCCGGTATTATTTTATACGGTTGTTACTTATACCTATCAAGTATGGATTGTTAACATATTTGTAATTCATATTTATTACTATCATTACATAGTATAAAACAAAGTCGCAAAGTCTGTCCGTCCCTATGTATGCTTAAATATTTAAAACTACTCAACGGATTTTTTTTAATAGATAGAGTGATTCAAGAGGAAGATTTATATATATAATACATGTACACCCGTGCATAGCCGGGGCGAGTAGCTAGTAATATATATAAGAGATGTAGGTAAATTAGATTGCCATAAGTAAAGAGTTTTATTTTAATCTTTCCTTTGTAATGGTTTGATGTGTTTTGTTCGCTTAATTGAGTCTTATGCGAATACTATAATCATAATATCTTTGAACAATTCACAGAATACCATTTGGTCCCAAGCTACGGAGAACTTGTGTTATAGGTGTAAATACTTAGAATTTTTTTTGAAAATATATATGCTATATATATTTGCAATTTAGACATAGAAAATACCTAGACTGATACAAACAATCAGACTCATGAATAGAAATGTTTGTACCCTGCGAGGAATCGAATCAATGACCAAGAGTAAAGCAGTGTGCTAAACCACTAGACCACCGAGGCCTGGAATAGTGAACTAAAAACAGTACTATTGATTCAGTTGCGGTTTCCATTAATATGCTGTGAAAAGTTTCATTTAAAATTGTGTATTTGATTGGAATAAATTTCCAATCGGTTTATAAACAAAAAAGTTATTCAGGTACGAAGTTGCGGGTTTAGATAGTAATAAAAATATCCCACTTAGAAACAAAACAGATTCCCGAAAAATAACTTAAAAAAGTTTAAAGTTGGTTTTCCCGGTTATATTTTGGTTAGTATGGTTTTTTATTTACATTGGAATGACAAACTAGCTGACATATATAAATATACACTACTAGCACTGCGACATCACGTTATCATGTGTCGGTGTTGATACTATTCAGAAGAAAATTATTATTATTGATATAACTAATAATGTCTATAATAATAATAGAAATATAAATATATTACCCCTGGACAATTGACACGGCATCAATTAGTCCCACGGTAAGCAGATCTTTTATTATGTGTATGGACGACTGATACTTAGATATTTTTTTTTGTTAAAGAATACTTAATATACGTAGAAAATACCCAGACCAATACAAAAAAATATACTCAAGATTACAAATGTCTGCACCGTTCGAGGAATCGAACTACGACCGTCAGATGTAAAGCGGTGTGCTAAACCGCTACACCACCGAGGCCATAAAATTATATACAAGTAAAGTATCTGGTAATTATACTGAATATACCTGATACCTCTGTCACTAGCAGTGCTCTTGCGATATGAAATTCCCGACAAGTATCCCCTAATTTTACTGTAAAATATCACTATTCACACCGTAACATATTATATAAAGATATGTTATATTGATATGTTGCTCAGTTGTGGAGCAGTGTCGACTGCGGATATTAAATTCTCGTCAGAAATTCGCAATGATTTTACAGCTGCGAGAAATGTTTGATATTGCTACACGAGGATATGCCAAATTCGTGATTGTGTGTCTTAAACGGATATACGTTAACAATACATGTCATCAAATACACCCATAGCGAATATAGCATATTTGATTTACTACACTAATATTATAAAGAGGTAAAGTTTGTGAGATTGTATGATAAGTAAGATAAGTAAGATTGTATGATTGTATAATAAGTTTGTGAGATTGTATCTTTGGATCTACTGAACCGATTTTGAAATTTCTTTTACCAGTAGTAAGTTATGTTATGTCAGTTTCATATGGCGTATAACCTCACGTTACAACCAATACAAGCCGAATGAAATATATAACAAAAACTGGCGAAATTTGTCGCAAATGAAGTTGTGAGGGTCAACTAGATAATTAAATCAGTGATAGAAAGAAAAAATAAGTAAATCAGTGCTCTTCAGTTAGAATATAAACAACACAAAATACATATAGGCATTGAAATGTTCTATATGTACATACCTCTGGTTTTCAGCTAGTCATCGATATTCTTATTTTATAGTACATTTTGACACTTTATGTACATGATAAAGGCAATGTGACTGGATTTATATGCTGAAACTTTACCGAGGTTCACTTTGTATTACATAAAGACGAGTGCATCTGCCTTACCTGTTCATGCTGGCAAGCATCTTGCTTTGTAAACTATGTTATGTTTAGACAGGTGAATTTAGTGAAATTAGTACGGAAATATGACAGTATAAAGTAATGACTACATATAAGAGGCATCGCCTTATCATAATAAAATTATTTTTGTAGTAATTTTCATATACACTATAGAAGCGACAGCAAACTTTACGTAGGCCACTCGAAAAAACTGTATCCAGCACAGAGCACTGTGATTATTATATATAGACGACAGTAGAAACTCTTCTTGTGAGTTTGCTATGTCATTTAAATTACATAACAATAAACTATGGCATATAAAGGCAATACAATGATGTTTAAATATACAATAGTTATTTGTTTGTCATATATCATTGTATTTGAATTTAATAAAAAGGATACAAAGATCTTAAGGATCTTAAGTAATATATTGTACATTGGCCGACTTATCCCAAATGAGATATATTTTCAAATTAATCTTGAATGACTTAATAGTAATATGAATTATTATGTACATGTATACTTTTATATTTATATAATTTTATTTAGAAAACTAAATCGGCTTCGAGTATCTCTGCACTCCCTAAGGTTTGCTGGTAGGGAATACTGTTAATATTAATAATTTATTATATTGTATAAAATTTAATTTATTTATTTATTTGTCATATAGGTTAAACGTAACAGTCATAAAATTGATATACAGATCCGTTGTAGCTATAAAGACATATTATTATGATGGTGCACGGATCTACCAGAAAACGCATTTCGGAAGTTTTGGAACGAAATTTCCTGCATACGATGTCACGTTTAATGTTACGGTGTTGTTGTTCATTACTTATCACAAAAGACACTAAACAAAACATTAATGAATTATAAGAAAAAGTACAGAGACTAATTAATAATAGAAGTAGGTAGTTAAATTATTACCACAACATTATAACTAGTAAAAAGTGCACATCAATTATAATAATCTTGTGTATACTTAGTTGTATAAATTAAACAAAAATTGTTAATTTATCAGATGGATGAATGCTACAAATGCAAAATGGATGACGTTGTATGAATTGTTATTATCAATATGATAAAAAATATTGACAATAATTAATATGAATATTAAAAAAAAAATTTTTACATGTCGAATAAACAGTATCATCAATATGTATGACTCCATCTGTATAATAACTACTTTCAATGCAATAAATAATCAATTTAATTTATTTTTAGACAACATGAATAATACAAATGGTATTAATACATTCAAAATCAAGAATACTTAGTTTTATATTTTCAAAGAACAGACAATATATCTATTATAACTTAGAATTATAGGAATTTTGCAATATATTCCATTCAAACAGTGTAATAATTTTACTAATTAATACAATAGTTTCGAAGTTTACTTTCCCCTTAACAAAATCAACTTCTATTAAAAGCAGAGTTTTTTAAATATTATTACATTTAAGGTATTAATTCTCTGACGATATTATGTAACGTGTCTATGTTAAGGGTTAAAAACATTTACAAATATACCAACACAGACGCGTCGCGACGGAAAGTTGTTAATAAACTCAACTGAAAATCTAACAAAACAATCCCTCATACGTATTTCGCATAACATGAAGCTAGCAATTTCATTAGAAATGACATGACAGGAACACAAAGAACATTCTTCAGTATAAATTCTGATTTGAAATTTAATCTTTATTTCGCTTGGAATAGATGTCAAGTTGCCTAGATTTGTACACAAGTCTGAGAGGCTGTGGCAACTCTGGATTACAAGGCATTCCTTAATACCACCATCTAGTCCGACGATCTCAGAATGCGAATTGCAACGTTGCAAGTTATTAGAGGTTAATTTACCGTGATTGTCTTTGTAACTGTGTGACTATAATCAATACGGAATGT